AAAAGATACACACCCACACACCCACACACACACACACACACACACACACACACACACACAGAGCAAAAAAAGATGAAATCAAAATGCAAAAAAAATAAATAAAAAGGATTTGGGACATTTATACACCTCCCCTAGATTCCTTTTAGCCATCAGGAAGGTAGAGGAGATCGGCAGGTCCTTTTCTAAGATGTCAAGTAAAAATATTAGTTTTCCTGTCCAGAAGAGGTCTAGATAGAAGAATTTTGGTACTTTGTAATGTCCAAAAGCAGTCCAACTGAGGAGTGGGCAGCAGCAAACTATTGCTAACAGGCTGAATGTAACAACAGGAAGTGGGAATTGCCTGAAGGAGCTGATGCCCAACGCTGGCATCAGATAAGGCCGAAATGTTCAACTCAATAGAACTTCAAGAACGTGAAAACAGAAAACAAGGTGGCAGCCTTGCAAATCTGGGAAACAGAGGCCTGAAGCCAAAAAGCCCAGGAGGCACTCATAGCACTCATGGAGAGAGTCTAACAGTGAAGGGGAGAACCGATCCTTGAAACCACAAGCCAGGACGATGATCTGTCTCAGCAACCTAGAGATGGTGGAAAGAGATATGGAGGTTCCTTTCTGGGGCCCATCCAGAATGGCAAAAAAAGGAATTGTCTTTCTGAAAGAAGCAGTGGCTGAGAGACTCACACAGTCCGGACCACGTCAAGACGGTGAAGTGAAATTTCTTTTCAATGAACCAGAGCTAGACAAAAAGGTACAGGGAGGACAATGTTCTGGTTAAAGTGAAAGGCAGAGACTACCAAGAAGGACGTCCTGGGCCATACCACCACCTTGTTCCTGTGCAAGACCAAAAATGTTTTTTTGCAAGGAAAGAAGCCGGTTCAGACAATTCCCTGTCAGAGGTGATGGCTACAAGGAAAGAAACCTTGTGGGTGAGAGTAGAGAGAGGAACATCTCTAGTGGGTCCAAACAGCAGATTCTGAAGTGCTGAGAGAACCAGATTTAGATCTCATGGAATCACAAGTTATTGGGCTCGAGTAGCCATGTGGGAGACCCCTCAGCACAAAGGTCTTAATCAAAGAGCGTAAAGCTAACAGTCTCTGAAACAGAATCAAAAGTGCAGACACCCAACTGCTGGAAGGAGAAAATCTGTCCCATGGAGAAGCTGCTGGGGTGGAATCCCGTAGACTCACACAAAGTGAAGTATGCCCTCCATATCTGATAATAGACCTTGTCATGGACTTCCCATCCTTATACGATCTTAGATGAAAAACAGCACTGTTGGAAGTTGATCCCCTAGCTTTAGGGTGGTGCACAAAACATCAACAACAATCAAAACAGTCTCCTTTAACTTGGTAGTAATAGCAGAAGACTGCAACTCCCTAGGTGCAAGGGCATCAGATGATTTCAGTGACTGAATCAGGTGGAGTGTGCAGAGGAGGGCTCAGAGGCTGCTAAGGCAAGATGCACAATCTGCTGGAAAGGGCATGGAAGCACGCTTGTGACCTTTTGTGAGTCAGTAAATAATAACTGGGTAATTTGGGTCATAAGGTCTTGCATGACTGTAGTTAAAGCCTCAGCTGAGAGAGCAGAGGACCCAGCCACACCAGACGGGGCCATGGAGGACTGCATAGACAGCAGGACTGCAGACGTCGGCACCATCAGTGGGCATGCTCCAAGCAGTTTCTGACCTGTTAGCAGAAAGTGAGAGCTGGGAGCACCCTACAAAGAAGAGGGTTTAGATGGCGCAGGTGACCAAAGTCACTGTCTGGAGAAAACATTGTCAATAGAACAGAAAGTGAGAATAAATCTCTCTAATGGAGCCCTGGATAGAAGTGAAGACCCAACAGGAGTTCTAATGCTTCCTCATTCCATCCAAAACAAGGAGAAAACGTTTGACTTAACATTAAATTTAAAGCAGAAAGTGACATTAAAGTCTAATTATTTTACCCTCCCCCCCCAATGCTGGTGTAAGGACTTACCTTAAATGATGCCTCTTGATCCGATCATCTTCTTCTTTCCAGTAGTTTTCAGGAGTCCCTCCAGCGCTGGTGCCGGTCCCTGATCTGGTGCTGACTGCTGTGTGTTCCCTGTCCCACAGAGTCTGTCCGGTGTGCACACTGCCAAGCTACGTCCATTGACCTACCCTGTGTCTCTCCTCTTCTCCCGCCCCATGATCCTTTGCGGCCGCCGAAGAATCTTCAGAACTTTGGACGGGAGCGCTCGGCGGAGACACAGGTAAGTTTTAAACTTTTTGGTAACTTTTTTGTTTTTGCATATATCTGCTGCTTGCTAGCAGTAGATACATGCAAAAAAAAAAATCAGAGGGTTATCAATCTTGCACAGTTGTACCGGCTCCTCTCCTCTTCCTGATATCACTGCACACTGGGAGCTTCTCACAATGTGCATTAGAAGCTACAGCAAGTCAGATAGAGCCCGCCTCATTTCATGGCTGGAGGACGTCCAGCATCATCTAGCATTTTCCTCCCCAAATAAAGAACGTTCCCCAATCACCAGATGAACAGGACATGCATTTCATTCCTCTCCAGCGACTGGCTTCATAATCACTGTAACAAGGTCTCAAGAATGTTCTCTTACCTTTTTCCTTTCCTTCTCTAGAGCCCGGAACTGCTCACAGCATTCTTCTAGCTGTAAATGGAGTTCATTGGCAGGTCCGCTGCGGTTTCTCGAAGGGCGGCATCTGTTGAAGGGGGCCGGAAATGGAAAGTACGGCGGGGGGATTTCACCGCAGAACAGGTCATTTATAAAAGGTTGGATCTGATTGATGTCTTCGTAATGGAACAGATCGATGAGGTCGGAGAACGGGAAAGGTGGTGGGAAAGACATATTTGTTGTTGGAGAAAATAACTGTGGGTTAAAGGAAGGAAAATTCTGATTCTGCTTTAAATCGGACATGAGGGAAAAAGGAGGCAGAAAGGAAGCATTCACGAAGTCAGACATGTTTCCCAAGTTGGGCTCCTGTTTGCGTTGGAAAGGGCTGCAAGGAGGCGGGTTTTGTTTGACGCCGCCATGTGGCATATTCCAAGTTCTTCTTCCTCTTCGGTCGGGATTTCCGTTGTTTGGCGGGTTTGCTCTTTTGGGCAGTTTGTGAAGCCTGTCGGAGTTATTCTGTCCAGAACCCAGCTGAGGTGGTGACCAGTTGGGGGGGTAACCTAATGGTGCGTTTCGATATATGCCTTCCTTACTAGGAGATGAGCGATTGAAACACTTGCTGCGCCTCTGATTTTCATCAATAAAGCTAGAAAATGGTATATGATTGGTCATTCCGTTTAAATGCCCATCCTTAGCAGAAAGCGGCAATGGTGGTTGAGAGTAATACCCTGGACAATGGGTTGGAGAACCGTCAGACAGAGAAGAACTTGCAGGAGATGGCAAAGGGCTAGTTGCCGTTTTCTGGGTCCCGAGCGTTTCGCCATCTAACCATCTGTGACTCTGGCTAGCCAATGGGAAGCCCTCATTTGGGCTGATGCAAGGAACCGGAGACTTTGCATAGGGCTCCTTTTGGATTTGAGGAGCAATATTTTCACGGCATTCGAAAGTCCCGACTTTTGGAAAACCGCTGTAGCTCTCTGACCCTTCCTTGTAGTGCGTCTTCTGTGTGGTCGGATGGAAACCGTGAGTTTTAGCAAACTGCTGATTGAACTGGAATGCTGGTGGCTTCATGCTCAGTGGAGAAAAGTCACTGGAAGGTTTTGCATATGTTTCTTTTCCCCAAGTTTCTCGAACGCCAGGTACGTAATTCGTTTGACCGGTTGGACTACCCCTACTGAACTTGACTCTCCCCTTGTCATTTTTCCACGAGGGCCGAGGTACTCCAGAGTATTCTTTTGCTCTCTTCTGCGAACTGGGGCAGGCACTAGCAGCTTTGCTTCCAGAATCTCTTCCGTTTAACTTGACGAAGCCGTCGACAGTCTGATTAGGCCACTCGATGGGCTGGAAAGAGGAATTCAGTTCCAAGGCTTGATTTTCAAAGTAAAGGCCTTGGAATACATCTTCCAGTTGTGGACTGCAGGTCTCAGGGCTGGAAACCCAAGAATCCAGCAAGCCCAGGTCTTCAAACCCTCTCTGAAGGCTTTCAATGTCCGGTAATTTTCTTGCAGGCTCCTGGTAAGTTTGGGGGCCAATTACGTGGGAGATGTCGACATTTCCAGGAAGGATGGTGGGAAGATATTCAGAGAGATTCTGGTGGTCGCTTGCAGCCCACAGTGGGGGAAACAGTCTAGATAAGGAATCCCTGAAAAAAAAAGAATAAGGGAGGATGGTAAAAGATGATTAGGCACTTTGCTCCGTATCACTGGCCATATGCATATACGTGGCAGCACAGTGGTGGGCTTTACATCATGCTGCCACATACTTGCATATGGCCGGCATTGCTGTTTTGTTTGAAGAGCATGCTCAAATATGTGCCCCCAGCACTATGACTATGCTGTCACCAACAGTTCTTGGAGCTGGTAGGAGGGGCTCCTGATCATGTGATCAATATGACAGCCAATCACAGTGATCACATGATCAGGAAAGCCCAGACATGTATATTTCCTTAAAGGATGGCTCCCAGCAGGAAGGGGTCAATAACCACTACAGAAAAAAAAATGTCCAATCAGTTCACAATTAACAAAGAGGGGAAAACTTAGTACAAAGGAAATAAAGTATTCACAGGTTTTACCCCCAAGACGTTTTACAGAGCAACTCCGGGCAATATTAGATGAATATTTATTCTTCTATTAAATGCAGCTAGAATATCTGAAGTCAAAGTTGAGCTTCCTCTCCTTACTGGACAATGCTTCTAAGTTTTTAACCCTTTGATAGGACCAACAGTGTCTAGTATGCAACTGATAATGAGATCTGACAGCACAGTACAGACGGGGTTAATAAGAGCAAACCACTTCCCAAAACCCCCCCTCCAACCCCCTCTATGGAAAGCTAGGTAAGGTTTTTAAGCACTTAATGTGAACAGCAACTTTACAATGTAAATAACAAACATAAAAGTAGATGTTATCCCAATTTGCAAAAGTGGTAATACACTTTAAATTTGCCGTTCCATTAGCTTACTGTAGTCCTTGTGCCAGACTTTCTTTAACCCTTTCGCTGCAAACGGAATAAGGCATACATTGCTGGCAGCGGGCCCCTGTACACTTCTGGAGGCAATAGCTTCCTGGATAGCTTTGCTGCCCCTCCTGCAGGCCCAAGACCGCCATTGCGGGTGTCGGCGGAAAGCAGGGAGAGAGACCAGTGAACACCCGTTTGCTGATCTCCTCCCTGCTGAAGGAATCGGAAGTGATGCTTATTTCATCACATGCGGCTTCAGAGCTGGGGAGGAAGCTGGTCAAGCATGATCTGTGCATGATCAGCTTCAGTGAAGTGCCTGTGAATGCATGCATACTAAGACAAGCACGCATGGGTGCACATACATTCCTCAAGAACCGTCCGAAATGCGCACAATGTATGGCCACCTATATTGCACATTTCCCCAAGCAAGTAAAAGACACGATCACCTGCCCACTCACAGCAAAATAACAGTGTGTCCTGATAG